GCAAATAGTTTCCGGAACGACATGGTAGTGCGGTCGTAGTACTCCAAGCGGTGATCAACAAGACCCCCCTCGAACCTTTCAGGCTCGCGCAGGTCCTTTCAAAGTCACGCACGTGCGGCAAAAGACTTTCCGCTAACAACCCGGGCTAAATTTGGCCCCTCCCCGACATCCAAAGCTCGTCTCAATTGGACGTACTTCCCTGACATCAGTTTTTTTTAAGGCTCATGCTGAGTTTTCAATGACGCAACTACGTTTTGGATTCATGTTGTGCAATATTTTTTTTTGTGGGGGTGGGGGCATAGAATAGATGCTTGTTTGTTTACGTGTCGAAGCAGCTGTGAATGATCGATTCGGCCGGGGGGGTCAAGGTGCGTCTCTCGCACAGCCAAAGTGAAAATCGAACGCTGCTGTTTAACGTTCCCCTCCTCCGCTCCACCCTCCCATTTAATCCTTTTTTTTTTTTTTTTTTTCGTGCGAGCTCTCGGGCCTGAGCATTCCACATCTCGCGCCGTGCCCACGCCCGCCGTTGAAGGTCGAACGAGGTGCTCGAAAACTTTCTCCGACTGTGCGACACAACAGCACTTATTCAATTTCCGGGCACCAAATCAAAGCGCTTATTTCACATTTGGGCTAATGTGGGCTAATTGTTTGTTAGCGTCGGAGTGTGGCCGACGCACAGGAAATGAAATGAAGCGGTTGAAGGCGGCCGTCGGTCACATCTGTGTCACGCGTTTTTAGGGGCCAGATTTTCACTTTGGGGCGGGGGTCGACTCACTTTTGTTGCCAGCATTTTACAGTAGCCGCTCCTCATACCTCGCCCACTTCTTCTTCTTCTTCTTCTTCAGTGGTGCTCACAGGGGGGAATGTTCCCGCCGGTGCGAGCCAAAGTAAATCCCGCTGATGAGTTCCCGCTGCCGGGATGAAGTAGCACTTGATTGGAATTCCTCTCATATTGAAAGTCGGATAGCTGCCGGCCGACCCCTTTCACGCAAGGGTCACCTTTGCCTCCTCTGTGCCTCTTCATGCTTCTCACTCACTCCATATGCGCATGATAGATGGCACATATCTGGCACATATCCGGAAAACGTATCGTTTCCCTCCGCATGGGGTCTACGTCCGCACGTGATGTGTTTTTCGGGGGGGTGGGGGATGCGTTCCCTGGCTGGAATGGGCCGCTTTGGGACTCAAAAGCCTCACAGCACGCGAATGTCTGCTTTGGTGTCAAATGTGTTTGATTTCCAACCCGTGCGAGATCTGACGTCTGAAAAACGTGGGGGGCGGGTGAGTGAAACTGCATCCCTTGGAAAAAAAAAAGAGTCCAAGTCAGGCTCATGCAGCACAACCGACCGGTCGGGCAGCTTGCGTGGTTTTGCCGTACGTTAGCTCGTCACGACCTGTTTCTGCTGCCCGGCTCGTGCGAGCTCTCGGGCCCGAGCATTCCACATCTCGCGCCATGCCCACGCCCGCCGTTTAAGGTCGAATGAGGTGCTCGAAAACTTTCTCCGACTGTGCGACAGAACAAAGGAGCCGGGCTGTGATGTCATCGTGTCCCGCCTTTTGTCAAGAATAATCCTACCTAAATAAATGTGTGAAAACAAATTGGCCAAAAAGATTACATGCAAACGTTTCGTACCTATAGGGTTCAATACAACTGAACTACTTCACTAATGTACTACGCTGAATTAAAAAAAAAATAAAAATAAAAAAAAATCCTGTCACATGAGGCACAGTTAATACAGTGATTCTTTCGCCTACCACTAGAGGGAGCACGAGTTGAGTGGATATTTTCTATGCTGCTTGATCGCTTGTTCAATCTGCCGTTGTAAGCTCTCAAATTTGGTCTTCGACTGGCCCGAAAAGTCGTGCTTGAAGTTGCAAACGAAGCCTGTCATTTGCTGGATGCCAAACAGGACGGCTCAGCAGCGCCATCAGGTGCCCTCACGCCGCGACTGCCGCGTGAGCCCCCTTTTTTTGTTTTCGCAACAGCTGTCGTCGTCATCGCCCGTAATCAGTCACTCGGCAGGCGTCTGCATTATCCGGCACAGGCGCGTCGTGACGATAGCAAAGTGCAGGAACGAGCGGCGTCTCCGGGTCGGCGGGTGGCTCCGCGCTTTGCAACAGAAAAGCTCCAAATCATGTCGGAGGCGATTCGTCTTGACCGCAACGGAGATTTGTCGCTCATCGAATCCCTTTCTGCTCTAAAGTTCCTTTCTCGGGCATTTGAAATTCTCCGTGCCCTTTTGGCCAACTCGAGGGGCCGCCGCCGAAATGCTCTGAGCTCGTTTGATGTTTTGTGAACGTTTGGGGGCCAAAGGGGAGGCGGGTCGGTGAGGCCACAAGTTAAACATGCTTGACATTTGTCTGAGGTGACTCAAACACGCAAAGGTGGACATTCCGAAGCCATTGGACACCGGCAGGTCAGGTTCGGAGGGGTGGGCTGAAGGGGAACGTTGGGGGCTACTGAATGAGGCCGTCACCTCTTTAACTCGGTTGGGGTTTGAAGTCGGGATGAGGAGTTTGCCTCACGAGCTTCCACTATTCCGATCCCGATTAGTCATGAAAGAGTCGCATGCAACGTCGGTCATAATTGCTTGTTGGTCGGTCATAATTGCCGCTGCCCCCACCAACATGGCGACACTTCGGACACTGACGTGCACACTTGACCTCTTTGTCGTACCGCTACTAAAAATCTGTCCGATCGCAATACTTTGGTGGTGCCGCTATACTGGGCAACCCTCATGTGGTGTGCCATACAAAAGAACACGACACACTTTTCTGCCTCAGTTGTTGTCGTCGTTCATCTTTTTTTCTTTCTGCGATATTTGGAGTCGGCTCGAAGCAGGCTTCATATTGCGCGGGACAAAAGCCCCCCGCGTGAAAGCAGCAGAAAGAAGAGGTGAGCCGCGGGTGATTGGCACTTTTGTCCCCTGGCCCTTCGTCATCTTCTTTCTTTTGCGTGACATTCCGCCGCTCTTTCTAATCCTTCCTGGCCCAGAAAGCGAACCGGTTCAGCCACTTCTCATCCACGTAAAATGTTGGCGAATAACCGCTTGCCTGACAGCTTGGGGCTGTGTGCGGGGGGGCGGGAGGGGGACAAAAAAAAAAAAAAAGCCCTTGAGAATAGGAAGGATGACGTGAAAACCAGATTAGAGGTTCGACAAAACCCAGGACCGCTTCCTTTCCACCCGACAGGCCCCCAAACCACAATTTCACTTCCCTACCCGGTCTGCTCTGCGGTCCGTCCTCATAAAGGAAGTGGACTGACAAGGAGGTGAACGCTGTGGATCCACTTGACCCTTTCCTGAATTCCACTCAGTGCCGGCGGGTCACATCCGGAACTGATCAAACGCGAACATTCCAACCGGTTGCTGATAAGGGAACAGTCGGCCGGATTTTTTTTTTTTTTCCTGATCCAAAACAAAATGGAGACCTTTATGTAACAACAGCATTCAGGTGATTGAAAGCAGATGTGGCGATGCATGATCGTCTTCAAATAGTTGCACGTACGTGCCGGTTCTGGGCCAGACCACTTGTAGCACTCTGTGATCAAACCGCACTTGACACACGGACAAACATCCGCGCGTCGTCACAGTGGAGTGTCAACACAACAGCATCATCAAGTCGACACACTTAATAATGCTTCTTTTGGGGGGGCGGGGGAGGGGGTTCCTTTAGTTTTTTAGCTCGGGTGAACAAAAATGAAGTTGATTCACCAAATTTGGAGCGAGCAACATTGCGCTACGATGCCGACAAGCTAGCTAGCGTTCCCAAGGATGCCAAGTCGCCATGTTTTCGGACGGTCGGGGCAATCCGAAGTCACCGCCGTGCACGTTTTCTTTTTGGACGACCCGCCATGTGCTTTGCTAGCACTTGCTTTGTTTGCCTCGGTTGGACTTGCGCGAGGGTCAAATCCGGGATGCTTTTTCGACTGAAGAGTAAACAATCTGCCGAGGCTTTGGATCACTGACTGCTTCTGGTAAACAGGAAGCAAGCGAGGACTCTGGAGTCTCTCTGGCGCCCACTCAAGTCGGTCCGTGTCAGAGCCTTCAAGTCTTCCCTCGCAAGTGCACTCTGGGCCCGATCGTTGGCTCCGTTTTCAGATCAACTCAATCATACTTTGCGCTAAGAACCGCGCTGGCGAAAACATCCCTTATATGGTGAGCGGCCATCTTGGAATCTCGACTCCGTCCAAAGACAACGTTGAGACTCCTGATTGCAATGTCAACGGAGCGCTTTGTGGTCTGGCACCCGGAGCTTCAAGTTACGTCCGGGGGAGGAAGACGCGAAGTTCAGAGGCTCTGAGAGCCAAAAAGGAGCTTGGAGACCTCCCCCAGGAAAAGTGCGAAAGCATTTGGCAGGAAAGGCCTCACAAATGACTTCATTCCCAACAAGCTATTTTTAGCAGCCTGTTCAGTGAGTGGGCTTTTTTTTTTTTTTTTTTTTGGGGTCCCGCCTGTTAACGTGAAACAGGAACCATTTGTTTGAACTTGGGACAGCCACCATCTTGAAAGGATGCAATTTCATCCGTCAATCGATCAATCTGTGTCAGTGTGATAGCATGCGTTTCCGACAAGTGCTGTTGCATGGCGTCTACCTGGCCCACTGGACGCCCGTCCAGAATTCGTGCGAATGGCCGAGCTGATATTCTGACAACTGACATTCCACAATGACTGAGTCCGAGAAGCGCCGTTTCTTGAAAGTGCTTCACATCTCCTGATTTCCGCCGCGGACGGTCCTATTCCACCGACTTCCGGGAGCCGTTCGTTATTGGGAATCAGTCTCCCGCTATCTGAGGAGGCGAAAGGTTCCGGAAGCGGACGGAGCTCCCGTCGCTCCTCACGTCTCTTGTCTTAAGAGGATTAGAAGTGTGGAGTCGCAGGTTATCTCGGCCCGCCAACGATCTGCGCTCTCATCGCGCCCGTGTCGGGCGGCCCACTTTCACGCTTTGCTTTGCCGATTTCTTTTCATCGCTCCTCATTCTGCTTCTGTCCCCCCGTCAGAGCTTGGATGAACTCGAGGATGACGACGGTGCCGAAAAAGACGAGCAGGAGGAGCAGCTGGTCCTGGCCAACACCTTCCAGAACGAGACCATGACGGCGGACCCGGCCACTGGACTCGTTGCGGTAAGAAAGGATACAAGTTTGGTCAAAAATGGCATTTCCGTCAGAAATGTACGTGCTCCATTTTTAAGTGACGCAAGCGCAAATCTGGCACAACAAGACGGCCCTTTGTAAAACAACCATTCAGCATTTAGCCGGCCTCGTTAGCTTAGCATGTTGGTAGCCTTTAAAGTGTCGTTTGAAAGTAAGGAGCAGTGCTATTTGCACACATTAATTGCGCGTTAACGTTTTCCGCTCAACGTAAAATAGTTTTCTCTATCAGACAATACAAGCGCATTTTTTTTTTCAACCTCAAAGAAGGGCACGTTGAGGTTTGTCGTGGTGCCAAGCGCTGTTCCAGTTTGCTTGATTTGTAAGGCCCGAAATCAGAAACGGCGGCGCTTTGTGGAGACTTGAAAGAAGCTGTCAAAAGTAACAAATATTTACCGAGTGATGGATCCCTGCTCTTTGCTCGTCCATCTTGAGGCATCGCCAGCCCGTCAGTTCCGCCGTCGTAGTCACTAAAAGCCCTAACGCAGAGCAGATGTGACCGAGCGGAGACTCGCGGCCTTCCCGCGCATCATCCAGAAGGCTGTCGTGGAAATTTGGGCCAACTTGAATTTGTGGGAAATGCCTTCTTGATTTGTTGGAACAGCGGCAAAGCCATTGAACGGTCGGCGCGAGCCCGAAGCGGAGCAGCAGCAGCAAGCCAAACATCCGACGGGAGCGGATGAACGCCTTCTCCTGAATCTATTGGCCGTTTCCCGTCATGGTGTTTAGTGACAGGAGAGCCGCGTGGGCCCGTTTGGATGTCGAGACGACGGCGAGAGAAGCTCATATTTAACCGCCCGCGAGGAAACGCTTCATCGATCACGATAAACGCGGCTCCGCGCGACGCTCGAGTGCGTCGGTTGACGGCCTCACCGGCGCAGCCGCGTCGCACGGAGGCACATCAAGAAGTCATCTGTGCCACTTGGAGCTCGCGCTGAGATTTGTCTCTATTTTTTTTTTTTTTTTTGTCAGGCGGCATAACAGCGACTGCTGACTGGCAGTTCAAGGAGCGTTCTCACACTCATTCTCCCTTCATGTGAGCAGGTTAGCATCAGTGGATAACCTGCGAGCAGAACACAAAAAGTTTGTCAATAACGGCGCCGCTTGAAATGACTTAACCAACTCCGTCGAGCAATATTTGTTTTGTGCGTACGGCTCGCTCACTCCGCTCTCTTATTCAAGCATCAATCACGCCGCAGCTCCAGGGAGGACTCGTATTTTTCTTTGCAAATGAACAAGCTTGTCGCAAAAGTCGAGCTCATTTCCCGTCTTCTGACGGATGTGCCGGACGCAATCTAAAGATGTTTCAATCCAATTTGGAGAAGAGACACCTGCATTCTCAGTGCATAAATTCAAACGACTCCTGGATGGAAATGTAGCGGGTGGGGGGGGGGGGGGGGGGA